TTACAGCCTAAAAATAGAAAAAAACTCGTCGGGAGATGCTGGAAGATACCGATGCCGGAGATGCTGCATCTTCCTGTGGAGAAGCGCGAGAGATGCCGCATCTTCATAGGAAGACGCATCTCTCGGAGGGGTCCCATGGTAAAAACCAAAAAACTTTGGTCCAGGGTATGGTTGGCGACTCGTTTCCCTGCGGAGATGCCGCATCTCCTGTACTTCTTCACAGTTAGATGTGGCATCTTCGGCATCGGTATCTCCCAGCATCTCCCGATGAGTTTTTTTCTATTTTTAGACTTTAATCTATGCGGGAGATGCTGAGAAATGCCGCATCTCCCTGTGGAGAAGTGCGGAAGATGCGGCGTCTCTCCAGGTGATGCACCTTCCGCAGGGGTCCCAGGGTAAAAGCTGAAAACAACTTTGGTCGAGGGAAAGCTTGGAGATGCGTCTTCCTGCGGAGATGTGGCATCTCCTGAGAAGATGCCGCACCTTCCGCACTTCTCCACAGGGAGATGTGGCATCTCCTACAGTAGCATCGCTCGTGAGTGTGAGTGCGGGAGAAAGTATAATGGACGAGTGTGTTCTGTAGTTAGTCTGGCATTTCCTACATCATTCTACACTCCTCCAGCTTCTCCGATTCCCTGGATATATAACACGTCTCTCGGGAAGTGTGAATAAGCATAGCAATGTGGATATGGATGTGTGATCGCATCACAGCTGCCAACCATGCACATTGTTGGCCTGAGTTTATTCCTACGGAGACGCTTTTTCGAAAAAGTCTATTTCTGTTGGTTTGGGGTTCGCTAATCTAACAATGAACTCATGAAGAATGAGGGTTTCCGTATTTTCTTCATATCTTCTCTAGTTTTCATGGATTTGGAAGGGACTTTCTTAATAATATTGAGCATTTGATTGTGCGCGAAGCCATAAAAAGATGTATGTCATAGAAATAAAATAAAAGACTTATTGTTATAATCTTACAGGTATGCAATACCAACTACTCTTAAAAGCACTTCCAGTGAACCGGTCAGA